GGGATTAAAGGCCTGCACCACCATGCCAGGCTTGATGACTGCTTTTTTTTTTTTTTTCTTTTTTTTGTCTTTTTGAGACAGGGTCTCCCTGTAGCCCCAGCTGTCCGGGAACTCCCTATGTAGACCAGGCTGGCCTTGAAGTCACAGAGATCCACCTGCCTCTGCCTCCCAAGCGCTGGGATTAAAGGCCTGCACCACCATGCCAGGCTTGATGACTGCTTTTTAAAGATGCAAAAGAGAGAGAGAACGTGGTCAGGTAGGGTGGACCATGAGAAGCCTCTCTGAAGAAGTAATATTTAAGTTCAAACCCAAATGATGAAAAGGTAGCCACATGAAAGGGAAAGGAAAATGTTCTGTGAGCTAGGAGTTATTTGGAGTTAAAGTATTTATTTAGAGCAGTGAGTGTTGGCTAGCACCTGTAAACCTAGCACACAAAAGGTGGAGGCAAGAGGATCAGGAATTTAAGGTCATCCTCACTCATACAGCAAGTTTTAAGGTCAGCCTGAGCTAAGTGAGACCCTGTCTTAACAGTAACAACAAAGTACTTGCTTGCTTGCTTGTTATCAGCTCTTTTCACAAGGAAATAGGCTCCAGGAGGACCCTCTTTGCCTTTCTTGTTTAGCAGGTGGCAGGTACGTAAGGGATACAAATGAAAATATTTCTAAATGAGTGGTAAAAATCCCCAGAGCACATGCACATGCCCCAACATGTATCTCTCTCTCTCTCTCTCTCTCTCTCTCTCTCTCTCTCTCTCTCTCTCTCTCTCTCTGTTGTAGGCATTCTTTTTAAAGATATTTTATTTCATGCCAGGCGTGGTGGTGCATGCCTTTAATCTCAGCACTTTGGAGGCAGAGGTAGGCAGATTGTAAGTTCAAGCCCAGCCTGGTCTACATAGTGAGTTCCAGGCCAGCTGGGGCTACAGAGAAACCCTGTTTCAAAAAGACCAAAAAATAAAATTTTTATTTCAGGTACACAAGTGTTTTGCCTGCATGTATGTAAGTACACCTGTGTTGTGCTAGTAGTGGGTGTTGGATCCCCTGGAACTGGAATTATGGTTATTAGCCACCATGTGGGTCCTAGGAACTAAACCTGGGTCCTCTGCAAGAGCAGACAGTGCTCTTAAGCATTGCTGAGCCAGCACTCCAGCCCCACCATTCCTTCATGTACAATTTTGCTTTAACTAAACTGAGCTGTCTGCCAGGCTGGTTGGACTGTGGTTAGGTGTTAGTCCCTTCCTTTGTGTCCAGTTGTTCTGAGCAGGGAGCTGTCAACTGAACAGACCCCTTTTCAAAGACCTTTTGCCATTATGAAAGCCCTGCTGCTTTGAACACATCACAGATGCCGAGAGGAAGCTACACTTCAGCTGCACAGAACACAGTAGCTAACACAGTAACATCTGCTTCAGGAGGCCTTGCTCTAGTCATGACTGCTCCAGACAACCAACTTGGTCTTCGAAGACGTCACTCCACAATAAGACAGGAAATTCTAGAGAACACTGCTTAACCTGCAACTGTTCTAAGATGGTGGGAGACTACTTCCTCATGTAGTTTAGAAGAAAGCTGGTGATTGGTGCAAGGAGCATGATCAGACCTGTAAAACCTGCAATTGGTGGAACTTCCCACGCTGTGACTGGTAAAAACTGCAGTGCCGCATTTGTGTTCCACACCCATGCCATGGCCCTTTTCGGCTAAATATCCAGGCTGATAGCTAACTTTTTGAGTTAACAAGGAGACACCCTTCTGTGCTGCCCCTTTATTAAGTTCAATAAAAGGCTTCTGCTGAGTTCTCTTTTGTCCCCTCCTTGTGATCATATCAGTGGGGAGAGTGGGCCATTGCAGGAGCAACAGGACTGAGAGAGGGGCTCAAGAGTTTCAGAGAGCTGCTGGGGGTGTGGGCTGCAAGAGTTAAGATGGGGGATCATGGCCAGAGGAGGCAAAACCCCGAGACTGAAAGGCAGACCGTGGTAAAAACAGAAAACTACAGGCTCCAGTCACTTCTAAGTTCTAGGGAGCTGCCAGATTTGGGGCCTGACAGCAAAGCTGCAGGGAGTTGTAACACTAATGGCTAAAAGTTAAGGATACTGACATCTGAAGCTGCAGGAGCTGAATATCTTGAGATCCAAGGTTTGGGAACCATGACACTGGCCATCACCTGCTCTTGCTAAGGCTAGCTGCTATTGTAAGTTGTGGATCACTGGTGGCTGAGTATAGGGCCACTGACAGTCATGGTTCAGAGCAACACGCCACTGACCTGAGCACCTAAGGTTGTAAGCCTCTGGCCTCTAGAGCTTGGAACCATCAGCCTTCAATTCCTAAGACTGAGAGCCAAGAGGCCCCTGGTCAGCTAGTCCAGCCATAGGCCCTTGACACTCAAGAACCCAGAGTCGCCTGCACTGAGGAGGTACCTTTTGCCTGTTCACAATTTCCAATCAGACAGAGCCAAAGAATCCTTACCACCAGTTGGTAATCAACATGACACTCAAAAAGACACCGTACTTTGATCTTTTCCCAGTCTAGTTACGGACTAGTATCTTCTCATAGTCCTCAGCACTGCTCCCAGTCAGCCTTGGGATCACCAAGGTAAGCCCCCATACTCTACAGCACACTACACTGCTAAGCTATAATGCTCAGTAGATGAGCATTTTGGACTTTATATCAATTTAGGCTGGGTCTGTTGGAATCTAATACCATCATTAGGCACATCTGTCATTTGGAGATAAGAGGGTGAGAGACGCTGACATGTGGACTGTGTGTTTGAACACCTGAGTCAACAGTGGTGCCAATGTGCTGAGTTGAGCAGGCCACTAGGGACTGGAGTAGAGGGAGTGAGCACTGCAGACAAAGTCAATGGCATTCAATTTGAAAATGTGGACATATTCATTGGGTATGGGAATACTCAACTCCGGAATTAAGAGCAGAGGTCATGGTAGATAAGATGTTGAGAATCTTTAGTATATAGATGGTATTTCAGTCTATGGGAACTGAGATAGTCACATAAGGCGGGAGTGTAAGAGAAATGTAGTCTCAGGGCTAAGCCCTGAGGATGCCCAACATTTAGACTGGATAAATAGGGAGCTGAAAAGGGGAGAGCGAGGTGGCCAGTAATGTAGAAGAAAGACGCTGTGTATGGTGGTGCATGCTATATGGTAAGCTCAAGGCTAGCCTAGGCTACAAAATGAGATCTCCCCCAAGGCTAGCCTAGGTTACAAAATGAGACCCCCCCCCCAAAAAAAAGATACAGAAGGAAGACCAAGAAAGATTCCAAACAGATGGGCACTTGACAGTGTGCTATGAGAAGAGACAGGGAGGACACTGAGTATACCTGGGAAAGGCCAGATGATAAGCCCTGGAATGGGAGTAGGGGCTACATCCAGTTCTCAGTGCTTGAAGAGTAATCTTAGCCAAGAGCTCCTTCCATGTGACTGTCCTGTAAGGTCTTCTGCTCCTCATCAAGGTAACAAAATGCTCATTACAGACAAATGGCTTAAAACAAAGTCAAGCCGGACATGGTGGCACACGCCTTTAATCCCAGCACTGTGGGAGGCAGAGACACTGGGGATCTCTGTGAGTTTGAGGCTAGCCTGGGCTACATAGTGAGTCCCAGGCTAGCTGGGGCTACAGGGAGCCCCTGTCTCAAAAAAAAAGACCAAAAAAAAAAAAATCAAAGAAAATCAAAAGAAAAGCACTGTACAAGGACTTTGTGTTTCATTGTATTCCTCTGTATTTTTCCATACAATTGAAACTACTTTAGAATTTTTTTTTAACATATACCCACCACGCTTTGAAACTTTTATGTACTTTTATGACTCTTTAAAATCCTTTGTAGATATCAAGAAGTTGTCTACAACATTTTTGCAACTTGCTGTTCTAGGATTTCTGTGTTAGGTTGTTTAGAAAATCACCAAAGTGGCTGCAGAGATGGCTCAGTTCTTATAAGTGATGACAGCTCTTGCAGAGAGGTCTGGGTTTTGGTTCCCAACAACCACATGCCGCTAACAAGTCTGTAACTCCAGTTCCAAGGGATCCAAAGCCCTCCTCTGACCTCTACCGGCATTGCATGACACAGGTGCATTTAACATATATGGAGGCAAAAACACTCAAACATATAAAATAAAACTTTATTATTTATTTTATTATCTGTATGTGTGTATTGCCTGCATGTAGGTAAGTGCACCCTTGTCGTGCAGTGCCTGCGGAGGTCAGAAGAAGCTGTCGGATCCTCTGGAACTGGAGTTATGGACAATTGTTAGCTGCCATGTGGGTGCTGGAATTCGAACTGCGGTCTTCTGCAAGAACAGTCGGTGTTCTTAACCGCTGAGCCATCTCTCCAGCCCCATAAAAATAAGTTTAAAAAAAAACACAGAGAACCACCAAAGACACAGTGTGAAGGTTGGAGCCGGCTGGCGGTGAGGTCCAGAGTGGAGGTTAGGAAGTCCCTACAGTAGCCTTGCAACCAAACCGAGAAGCAGCAGACACGTTCTGGGAGCAGCGCTTTGGTCTCCCAGACCCTTAATTGGAACCTGCATTAAAATCAACCTCCCCGGCTGTGTTTCAAACTGTGCTACAGTCTAGTTACCTAGGAGCTATCAAAAGATGCTACTGCCCAGGCCACTCATCAGAATCTCTGAGTGGGCCAAACGCAAAAATCTCTCCAAATGCCGCCAAGGTGCACCGAATTTTGAGATTCAGAGCTTTCTTAGCTACACGGTGTGCATGTAAACAGCAGGGCCTGGCTGGGCGCAGGAGGCTGAAGAACAGGGGTGGGAGGGTTGAACTGCACAGCACGAGTCTGAGCGCAGAGTGAACCAGTACCTCGGCGAAGCGACTTCAAAGAGCGGCGCACGGAAACCGGGCCCAGTCTCTGGAACCACGGAGAGGCACGCCCCGCCCCGCCTCGCCGCCCAGGCGCACTGGCCGCGGCGGCCGGGGGCTGCCTCCGCTGACGTCAGGTCGCTCTGTGGGTCCAGCCTCTCAGCGAGCCCCGGCGCGGGCCCGCGGGGGCGGGGCGTGAGGGCCAGCTGAACTATTCAGTCAGACCGCGCCAGTTTGAATGAAAGCTCTGCAAGATGGCGGCGGCCGGAGCCGAGGCGCGCAGAGGTGAGGCAGGAAGGAGCGCGGTGTCCCGGGCCTCCGGCTGCGCAGGGCGCACGCTCCCGAGGCCCGGGCCTAGCGGGTGCCGGCGCTGCGGACCGGCTACTAGGCTCCGGTTCCCGCGCGTGGACGGCCCGCCGCGCTGGCTGCCGAGATCGTCCAGCCCCAGCGAGGCCCGGTGGGTCCGGGTACGGCTGCGGTTGGACCCTCGGGGGTGCTCCCGCGGGCCGGGCGCGCACGTGAGCTGGCCGGACACCCTCTGGAGTCGCCCCCGAAAGCGGGGTCTGCACCGTGGCCCTGCCGGCAACTTTCAGGGCCCTGGAACTTGCTAGGGATGCCCGGGGATGCTGGAGGGAGGACGGCGTCCCGTGCGTGCGCTTGTCTTGCGCGCCCTTTCAAATCCTGGAACTTGGAAAGCACTGAGGAATGGACGGTGCTTCTCCAGCTTGCTTTCCTTCTTTCGGAGGGCGACTTGATTATCCTTTAACTTTGCTTCCTTGAAGCATGGCACGCGTTGTATGAACTCGTGGAAGGATTTTATAGTTCTCGTGCCATAAAGTAACGTGGTTAACGATTTTCCGCCCTGTTATTAGGGGCTGTGGAATTTTTACTCCAAGTGCTTGATACATAAAATGCATATTATCTTAATATTCAGAAATGCTCAAAATTACATTTCTGTTTAGGTTTTAATTTTTATTTCTAAAAGCATTTTTATTTCATGTATGTAAGTTTACCTGCATGAAAGTGCAACACATGCATGCAATTCCTGCAGGAACCAGAAGAGGGCGTCAGATCCCCTGGACCCGCAGTTACAGATGATTGTTAGCTGCCATGTGAATGCAAACCTGGTCCTCTCCAAGAGCAGAGCCCTCGCCAGCTCCTTGAGGGTGGTCTTTTTAATGAATATTAATTATACAATCACTTTCATTATGACATTTTCATACATATATACAGGCAGGTCATATTCAGCACCACGTTCAATACCACCCTCCATTGTAGGTTGTATTTTTGTAGGTGTCAAAATGGGAAAATGATATGCGTTGGTGGTATAGTGGTGAGCATAGCTGCCTTCCAGAATGGGAAAATGGCAAACACATTGGGTGAATAAGCAAGAGGAATCTCCATTGCATATGATCAGGATAATAAGTTTAATTTCATACAAAAAGTCAAGATTTTTGGTAGAAGTCATTCATGAGACATTTTTACAGCAATCTTACACCCAAGACAGTACTCCAAAGCAATCATTGTATTCAGGTTTTTGTTTTAATTTGTTTTTATTTTTTGTGTGTGAGTGTTTGCCTGCATGTAAGTGCACCTGTGTGTGCAATGCCAGTGGATGCCAGAAGAGGGCATCAAGTCCTCTGGAACTGGAGTTAGGGATGGTTGTTAGCTGTATGTGGGTGCTGGGAGCTGATCCCTGGTGCGCTGCCAGAGCAGCCAGTGCTCTTAACCACTGGATAATCTCTCCCGCCTCCTGCAAATTTTTTAAAACTTTATTATTTTTTAAATTTTATGTATATGGGTGTATTGCCTGCATGTAGGTGAGTGCATCTGTCGTGCAGTGCCCAAGGAGCTCACAAGAGAGCATTAGATCCCCTGGAACTGGAGTTAACAGACCTTTTTTAGCCACCATGTGGGTGCTAGAAATTGAACCCAGGTCTTCTGCAAGAGCAGTCGGTGTTCTTAACAACTGAGCCATCTCTCCAGCCCTTCCCAAAAAAATTTCAAGGAAAATAGTTGGCTTTTTTTTGTATAAGAATTTTTTTTTTAACTATTTTATTTTACGTGTATGAACGTACTGCCTGCATGTAGGTAAGTGCACTGTGTCATGCAATGCCTGCGGTGAACGGAAGAGGCTGTCGGATCCCCTGGGACTGGAGTTACGGACAGTTATTAGCTGCCATGTGGGCTGGGATTCGAACCTGGTTCTTCTGCAAGAACAGCCAGTGTTCTTAACCACTGAGCCATCTCTGCAGCCCCCTTGTATCAGAATTTATAAGTCCTTTCCAGTGACTAGAGTGATGGAGAGTAAGTGTAATGGAGTTCCTCCATGATTGGGGAGGATGAAGAAGGGGTGTAGTAAAGTTAGAGCAGTTCTGTTCCTTGTCCTGAAAATTATCTCAGAACGGAGCATTTTGCCCCTGCTTTGGAGAACTACCAAATAAAGCTTGAGTTAATGATACACTTTATTTGGTAACCTCAGTCTTCACCAACCCCCATGGGGCTTTTTTTGTGAATCTGACAATCAGAAGGATTGGGACCTAAAGTTGTGTTGTTTGGTGGCCCACCTAAAGTGTAGAGCGGAGGACATTTGATCCATCTAGTGTTTATCGTGACACTAACCTTAAAATGAGATTTATTACATTTTTCTAGTGTAGTATTTTAAATTAAGTATAGAACACAGTTCCTGGCTTCTGTAAGATTATTAATATGTCTGATTTTCAACTTTGGTTTATGGATTATTTAAATTGAATATTCTGTTTTGTAACTCTTGGTTTGAAAAAAATGCAAAGCTCACTGTACTCTCCACTGAAAATTTTTAATTCTTGTGTTAAGCATCCTGTTAATATGTTTCACCATAAACAAATGTTAAAATTTCACACAGTATTCAAAAATGGGAAAAGTGGGACATGGTTCTGTAATTACAGAACTATATTTCAGTGAGATTTTTATTTCCAATTTTTTAAAAAAGTTACTTTTTCATTTTGATTGTGTTTTAAAATATATTTTAGATATATTTCTAACAATATGTCCTAGAGATCTGTTTTATTAATATAACAATTCTGTGTAGCACATAATGGAAAAGCAAAAAAAATTACCTTTTTACCTTTGCATTTATATGCAATCTTAAGAAAGCTTAGACATAAAACATTTTAAGGGGCTTATTAGAAATTAACCATTGTTTCTAGAACAAAGGCTAGAAATCATGAGAAAGTCCAGGAAAACTAATTTGCCAAAATAGTTCTTTATCGCTTAACTTTTTCTTAAACAAAAGAAAGTTTTTCTTTTCAGATTTTTAGACTATAAAATTGTCAGTTGAGAGTTTTTTTAAGTTTCTCTTTTTGTTTTAACTTAGCTATTTTCTTAGTAAAGAATTTTATTTTCTTATTGTAGCCTGGTGTGTGCCTTGCCTAGGTTCACTTGATACTCTTCAGGAATTATGTAGAAAAGAAAAGCTCACATGTAAATCCATTGGAATCAACAAAAGGAATCTAAACAATTATGAGGTGGAATACTTGTGTGACTACAAGGTAGTAAAGGTAAGGCAAATGTCTAGCCCCTTAAGAGACCTATTCACACTTCAGTATTTCGTATATCTGTAACATAAAAAGAGCCTTAAAAATAAGCAGAACTCTCTTCTATCATCTGTTTTGCTACATAACACTGAGAGGATTTTGCAATATAAAATGTTCTGGCATTAGGATATTTAGGGTGTTGGTACCATTCTGCATCCAACACTTGATCATCTCCATGTGGATTACCAGAGCAAATGTTTGATCTCAGATGGACTTTTCCTGTCACTCATGTGGCTGGATTATATTTCCCCATAGTTACCTGAAAGGAATCTGAAGTTTCAAGCCAACTTTAGTGTTACTTAAGGTTCTCAAGAAGCAACACCATTTTATTTCCTGCCATTGTGTCAAACCACATATTAAGAGGTTCTGTGGTAGAATAAAACAGACTGGATTTCAGAGTTCTTTCAATCCACCGTTCGGTACCGTACAACTTTAGCAACTTAATTGCTCTGAGCTTCCCTTTATTCATCTTAAAAATGAGTTCTTCTAAGAAACTCCTTTGATCTTAACCTTATACCTGTGTTTTCCAGTAATTCATGTACCCATAGCCTTCCTCTGGAGCTGGTCATCGATCTCAGTTTTTTTCAGATAAATGAATCAGGAATCCTGCTTTGATCATTTTCCCTTTTCTCCTCAGTCCTTCATTAAATCTCTTTCTTTGTTTGAAATGTCTGTATTCCTTTGGTATTATTGCTTCCCTGCTCAGTGGGATTTTAGTCCAGCATTTTTACCAACATCCTCAGCACCCTTCCACTCCTAAACCCACCTAATCATATGCCATCTTGGTTTACAAGCCGTGGCTTCTCCAGTCGAGTTGAGACTGTCATATAAGCATATGTATTGGTTCTATTAAAATAGAGTTCTAAACTGCCTGGTGGCATAGACCTGTAATCCCAGCCACTGTGGAGGCTGAAACAGGAGGATTCAACCCCAACCTGGGCTACTTAGACTCTTTCTCAAAAGTTATAAAAAAGTTTTTAAAAGTGGGAATGTGGTGGCACATACCTTTAGTTAGTCCCAGCACTTGGTAGGCAGAGGCATACTGAATTCCAGGACAACTGGAGCTACAGGGAGACCCTGTCTCAAAAAGACCAAAAAAAAGTTTTTAAAGGAAGCTTTTTGTCACTCATTTATCTCAGTCAGTAAACATTCAGATTTTCCCTAACTAACCTTTAGAAACCTTTGGCTTCCCTCTCCACTCACATGTTTTCCTTCCACTTTACTTTCCACTAATTTTGAATACCTTTATTGAGATATAAAGTGTACAGTTGAAGGGGTTGTAGAAATGGCTCAGCAGCTAAAGAGTTCTGGATGCTCTTCCAGAAGACCCAGGTTTGGTTCCCAGTACCCACATGGTAGCTAACAACTGCCTATAACTCCAGTTCTAGGGGAATCCAGTACCCTCTTCGGACCTCCACAGTCATTGCATGCTTATGGTCCACTCATGTGCAGGCTAAACACTCATATACAGAATAAAAAATAAAGTGTATTGTTCAAATCTTAGTGTATTCAGTCAATTTTAGAAGTTTTTTTTATTTTCTTACAAAGAATCTCCAAATCTCCCAACCCTTCCCTTTCAAATCTCAATTGCCTGCCTTAAGCAACTGCTAATTTTTTTTTTTTTCTGTCTGTAGATTTGCCTCTTTGGCCATTTCTGCCTCTCTCTCTCTCTCTCTCTCTCTCTCTCTCTCTCTCTCTCCCTCCCCCCCCCCCCCCCCCCCCCCCCCCCCCCCCGCTCTGTGATTTGTGCACGTGTGTTTGTGTATATCAGTGGAGGATTTGGGGTGTTCTGTTCTATCATTGCCTTATTTCTTTGAGACATCTAGTTTCTAGCTGTGGAGGTAGGCTGGCAGCCAGCACGCTCCAATGATTATCCTGTATCTGCCCCCATTGCACCGGGCTTACAGATGGCATGAATCCTCACCTGGCTTTTAATATGAGTGCTGGGATCTGAACTCAGGCCTTCATGCTTGTGCTGTTTGCAAGTGCTCTTACCAACTGACTCATCCCATTTCTCTTGGATATTTTCTATAAGGAGAATCACATGTATATGGATTTTTGTTTTGTTTCTGTGATTGGCTTCACTCACTTAGAATAGTGGGGGTTTTGTTTGTTTATTTTGGACTATTGGGAATTAAACTGAGATCCTTTCACATGAGTATCTCCATCCCTTTATTAGAAGTCTTACCAAATTGCCCAGGCTATTCTTGAGCTCGCTCTGAGGCCCACGAAGGCCTTGAACTTGAGATTCTCTCCTTGCCTTAGGTACCTGTACCACTAGGCTCAATTTTTAGATAATGTTTTTAAGGCTCATGTGTGTGTTAGTATGCATCAGTACATCCCTTTTTATTGCCAAATGATGTTACATTTTGTAGATACATCTTATTTATCATGTGATAGACATTTGGGTTGTTTCCCTTTGGGTGCTCCTGTAAGTAGTGCTGTCATGAACATGTAAGTGTGTGGACGTAGACACATTCTAGTGAATGTGAAGTACATTTCATTGTGGCTTTCTTTGTATTTCTCTAGTGGTTAGTGATGTCCAGCATCTTTTTTCATGTTCTTATTGAATATTTGTATCTGCTGTGGTGAAACGATTAATTCAGATAATTTGCCTATTTTTAAATTTTAATTTTATTGTGTCTGAGTATTGCATGCACATGGGTGTGTGGCTGTGTGTGCTCATATGGACACATGCGGAGGCCAAAGGAAGACAGATTGTCTTCCTCTGTTGCTCTCAGCTTTATTCTTTTTAGACAGGATCTCTCACTGAACCAGATGATTCCTGTTTAGGCTAGGCTGGATGGCCAGCAAGCTCCCAGAATCTGTATGTCTCTAACCCCATCCCACCAAGTAACTCACAGAGATCAATGTGCCTCTGCTTTCTGAGTGCTGGGATTAAAGGCGTGCACCATGGCTCATGCCCAGCTTTTTATGTGGGTACTGGGGATTTGAACTCAGGCCCTCATGTTTGCATAGTAAGAGCTTCCATCTCCCCAGCTCCCTCCTCATGTGCTCATTTTTAAAAGTCGTGTTGTCTTTTAATTATTTAATTATATTTATATATTCTGCATATAAATCCCGTCATATATAATTGAATAATTTTTCTTCTATCCTGAAGGTTTTTACTTTATATTAACTTCTTAACCCATTTTATTCTAATTGGAAGACTTCAAATCTTACTATATTACTTTGCCATATTTAATATTGTTGACATCCTATTCTTTGAAACTGTCTTGTCTATGCAAGACTGCCTAGGTTCAAATTCTGGCTCTTGTCATTTACTAGTTTTGTGATCTTTAGCAACTTAACATGTATATGAGTGTTTTGCCTGCATGAATGTGTGTGCCTAGAGTTACAGACAGTTGTGAGCTGCCAATGTAGGTGCAGGGAACTGAACCCTGGTCCTCTGCAAGACTAGCAAGTACTCTTAACTGTTGGATCATCTCTGAGCTCCTTCCATCTATTTTTTTTTAAATTAGTTTTATGTGTATGCGTGTATTGCCTGCATGTAGGTAAGTGCACCCATGTCATGCAATGCCCGCGGAGGACAGAAGAGGCTGTCGGATCCCCTGGAACTGGAGTTACAGACAGTTGTTAATGGCCATGTGGGTGCTAGGATTCAAACCTGGGTCTTCTGCAGGAACAACCAGTGCTCTAAACTGCTGAGTCATCTCTCCAGCCCCCATCTGTGTTTTTAATGTTGTTCTGGAATGTCTTTGCTTCTTATGTACCCGTCCCTTGAAGTGCATGTGACTTAAAGGGTCTGTCCCCTTCTCATTTTGTAGTTGCTCTGTAGGTAAGCTCTTCCTTGGTGGTTTCTACTGGGGATATGATCACTTATAATACAGAGCTTATTTTTTAAGTGAGATGAGAATTCTTAGGACAGAGTACTAAGTCCCTGTGCAAAGTAATTATAGTTAAGGTGAGTGCTACTGTAACAGCAGGATCTAATCCTGAAGAGACTGGGCAGGTATCTATGAGGAACTGATGTTTTAAACATAAAGAATGAAAAGATGAAGTAGGGGTGTGGGTCTTTATACAGAAGACAGCCTGACTTATTCAAGAAACAGAACGTACCAGTACAATACGGTCCAAAAGAGTGAGATGAGGTTAGAAGGATGGGCAGGATCTAGGAAGTGCAACTCCTTACAGACCAAAGGACTTTGGGCTTCATCTTTAGGGCAATAAGCTGTGTCATAGTTTAAGGCAGCAGTGGCACAGCAAGAGAACATCACCCTGGCTGTTAATGTTCTGCGCGGATAGAGTGAGAAGGTGCTGCAGTCGTCTTCAGCAGATGTAAGAAGAGAACAAGCACTAAATGAGGAATCCTGAAGAATTAAGGCTGACTGACTGACTCGGAGGAATAACTGCTAGTGAGACTTTTTTTTTTGAGACAGGGTCTTCTGTAGCCCCAGCTCGCTATGTAGACCAGGCTGGCCTCAACCTCACAGAGATCTGCTTGCTGGGATTAAAAGTAAGCATCACCACGCCTGGCAAAGAAAGGTAACTCTGGAGGAGTAAATAATGGAAGCCAGAAGAAAAGAAAGTACAGAACAGTGGATCAAAGAGCTGTAAAAACACACAAAGTTAGCAGTTGAAGGGCCTTTGATGCCCTGTGAGTAGTTCCTGTGCTGGCATGAATAAAAGAGCCAAAAGGATAATTAAAGATTAAGCTGCAGGTGTAAGAGTCAGGTGGTATAGACAGTTCTTACAAGCATCTTACTTTGAAAAAAAGAGGACAGTGTAGGGTATAATGGTGTTTACAGTTTTAAATTTGTTTAAACCATTGAGTTATGCATATGTGTTTTTTAATGTTTAAAAAGGCCATAATGCTGAAATCACCCTATGACCTAGTTCTGCTCTGGGATAGAGACCTTGAACAGAGAAGTCTGAAGTAACCAGCTTAGGAATGGAAAAAATGCTATCTAATGTCACTCGCAGGTCAGATTGAACTTTAAAGG